AAACTTAGACTTAGACTTAGACTTCCTTTATTGTCATTGCACAAAAACACGAGGTGTCAATTACTTGGCTACCAGAGTAACAGCTAAGACCTTATACCATGCACGATAAATATGTATTCTATTCTATTCTATTCTATAACTAAGCGCTAAGCGTAAAGAATTATATTTATACATATAGCCATACATATAGCCATATACAGCCAAGGAAGCTAGAAAATATCTTCTTTCTCCTGTTTTCTTGCTCTTTTTAAAGGAAATGACGCCATCTTCTCTGAGAAGAAGAAGTCCCGAAGAAGACCTGAGGCAAATCTGACTGTCTGACGGCTTTCTGTGGCTGTACCCCCTCAGCTGCCTGAGTGGAGCTCCGACTGTATGGACGTTCTCAGGAAAAGGGACTTTGATTATTTTACTTGTTGCTTCCGCTTTATTGTTGGCTGACCCCCTGGTAGTGCGCAAACCCAGAAGGTCGTCACAACTTGTAGTGAAAAGTTTCTAAACATCCTCCTGTTAGCATGACTAAAACGCATATTTAAGGTTTGTCTTGGAAGCCGAGCTGGAGTTTTGTAAAAACACACAAGAGAATGAGGGCGGTGCGAGGGAGACAATACGGATGTGCTCATCTCCAAAAACCGAGTCAAACAAGAAGTCGTTTTTTATCATCGGAGCATCTTCAGGAGGAGGGAGGGGGGGGGGGAAGGGGGGGCAGGATGGTGCCACGAGGTGAGCACATCCAAACGTCCTGGTGGCTAAACGTGGAACGAACTGGGCCCGTAAACACAACACGGGCTGAGTAGATTCCCACCTGATTCCCAGCAGATCCCTGACAGATTAACGCCTCCAGAACAATGGGACAAGAGTGGAGACGGCTTCCTCTGTGTCCCCACTTGTCTGCGGCGGACAACATCCCAGCGCTACCCTTTTCTGCAAAGGGCTGGTGTGTGTGCTCTCAGGCAAGGAAACTTTCCCAGCAATCCCCTGAGGGAGGGGGGGGGGGGGGGGGGAATACTATACCAGCAGCGATACGTAAAGCCATGTGTTTGTATGCGAGCTAGAGCCGGTGTCTTACAAACTCAGACGTTTTTATCTAGTTTTTTTGTTTGTTTTTTCGCGTCATTTTCCAGAATTTCAAGTCCCCAATTTGTGTGACCGCTTCGGCGTTGCGTTGCGGCCTCTGGAAAAAACATGACCCAAACACGGACTCTCACATCCTGCTCGCGCGCTTAATTTAACCACATCAGCCCGAGGATGATCTCTCACATCTGCTGTCTCCCGCCCGAGGTGATTTTCAGGTTACCCTAAATTTAACCGGCAGACAAAAAAAAACAAAAAACGCCACGCGGGAGCGAAACTCTGTACTTTTCATTGACATGTCGGCGTTTTTTGTTTCCTCTGCAGACTTCCGCGGCGTTTTCATTGACAGCGAAAGAGCCGAAAGCGAATTCCTAGGTGACTTTATTAGTGTCAACATCTCATAAAAAAGGTGTAATCGCTATTTAGAGAATCAATCTCCGACAAGATGTCTTCTTCCCCTCCTTTCCCCTATCACACACCTGCTATGTGCTCCTCAACCTCCCCTGGATAAGGTGCAGGGCCCCATCCCCCCATCCTAAAACACCTCCCGCTCCCCAGAGCAGGTGTTGGAGGAAGTCATAGTCTAATCAGACAATCTAAACAATCCCTATCTTACGGCTGATAATGGCAGATGTCTGTACACCTCTAAATTGGTCCAAAACTGGATGGTTTCTTCTCTTCCCAGCTTTGACAATGTATCGCTATTCGAAAAATAATCATTTCCAACCTTCCAAAGTAGCTATATTCAGTCTTTTTTAACAGAAAAACTAATTAAAACAGTTAGTTAAAAACTAAAAAATCTTTTTTGCATCTTGTAACATCGACAATCGTCTTGTAAAAACCTAGATTTGAACATTTTTGGACAGAAATTCCAGTCCGTACTGATGGAGAATGAACCTAAGCTTTGAGTTGAATGTGTTTCAACTTCCATGAGTCGGTGGCCTGTGATGCTCTTGATTTTTTCTCTACTTATCTTAGTATTAACCAAATAGTCTCCCGTTTTACTGCCTCCCTTGTGATTCCTTGTGAATTCCTGACATTTTGTCGGATTTAAGGTCACCTGCATGCTTCATCGTAAGATATGCAGATACATTTTTTTCTTTACTTGAAACCTTAATCTCTGTCATTGGTTAGGTTTAGGCAAATGGTCTGATTTGGACTTTGGACAGTTACTTGACATGACTCATTAAGCTCCTTTGTCAAGTAAAGCCATCTTTTTGACACAACTCTGTCTGCTCTTACAGATTTTTACAGATTTTTGCAGTTGGTTTACTGGACGATTTAAGCTAGTTTTGGTTAAGTTTGGGTATTTCTATTAATGCATTTCACCAAAAGTTGGCTACGGTTCAAGAGCCATCATTGTTTGTATTAATAAAGTTGTTTCTTACTGTCCTGATTATAAACTTGGCATTACTTCTGAATAATTACATGGCGAATGTCTACCTTCGGTACCACTGGCTGCTAATTAGCTAGTACTTAGTACTTTGTGAACCCTGTGGGCGTTTTGTCCAGCACAAGCCAGTGCAGCGCGGAGTGTTAACACATATATACCTTCCGCCCCTGTGATTTTAAACCAAACCCCGCTGCCTTCTGGGTTTCAGCACAAAGGAGCCAGCCTGCACGCATTGTGCAATTCCCAAGAAAGCCACCCACCGGCGTTCCTACTGGCGAGACTGGCGACCAGCGGCTCAGCTGCGTTTTTCAGAAAACTGGCTCGGGGAAGGCGGGACAGTTTGTTGCTGCTGCGCCAAGGACAGGAAGTGCTCGCGGAGGGACAGGAAGTGCTCACCGCGGCAGTAGCCGAGGCTGGAACTGAGATAATGCCATTGTGTAAGCAAGCCGAGTGACCTCTCCCTGGGCGCAGAGTCCAGAGGCTGGCGTCGGGAGCCCTGGCCCCCACCCAGCCCCAGACTCCCCAGGCACGGGGCGGGGGGGACTCTTGGTGGAGGGACAAGGGGGAGGAATGGAGGAAGAGAGGGGATATGAGGCGTGTCACCTCCCCCTCATCCCCTACACCCCCCCCCCCCCACCCCCCCCTCCCTCCTTCAGCTTGACTCTGAACCTCACCTTGTAGAGGAAATGTGGCTGCGACTCCAGACTTTATGACTTCTCCCATCAAAAGCCAGGATTTTTTTTCACTCCCACACACAGCGAGAGGTGGCCAGGGCACACTCATACCCACGCCCATGTCAACACACGCACTCTCAGACACACACACACACACATACAAAGACACCACAAGCACACACACACACGCAAACAGGGTCCCTCTTTCTCTTCTCTCTCGAAGGGTGGGAGGGGGGGAAACCCTATCAGGTCATCGGTGGTAAAATAGACGATGACAGTATTATGGTCCGAATCCTGTCCCATGCTGGACGTACAACACACCCTCCTATACCGACCCCCCCCCCTAGAGAGTCCGCCTGGTGTCCGCCTGGGCCACGGAAAGGTTGCATAAGCACCGCTCGTATTTCTGTCAACTGTTTTTGACACGAGCGTTACGGACCACAACAAGATGAGAATGGTCTGAGAAAAAAAACGGGGCTGACAAGCCGGGCTCTGCCCGCTCCGATAAGGAGCCCGTGATGTTTGGACACAGAAATACTCCAACTCCGGTTATTCGAGGTGCGACAGGTCGCTCGAAACCTTTCCCCTCGTGTCTGGGACAGCTGCTTTCGAAAGCAAAGGAAACACTTTTGAATGCATGTCTGTGGCTCGCACGCGTGCCACGAGAGTTAATAAAGTTTATATTTGACCGGTGGCTGACGTAATCTGGGAGCTTGAAGCTGCTCAGCTCAAGTATGCCAAAACTTTCACCTCGATTTGAGTGGGAAACTTAAAGGCCTCACAGAAAGAGACACGCGTGGCGATAATTATAGCAAAATAACGTTTCCATTTCGAATAACACTTGTTGTTAGCTTTTAAACCCACTAAAAGGATTATAAATGGCACATAATGAGGTCAAAGTCATTAATGAAAGGCCTATTAGAGATATTTTAGCTTAAAAAGATCGTTAAACCTTCAAGTTTGAGACTGGATTGTTGAAAGAATTCTAATAGTTTAAAGTCACATCTAAAAAAACACTTTTCCAAAAGGTTTTCCCTTATTTTTAGTCTTGTGAAATCAGTGCTTGGTGTGGCCTAAAGCAAAGATTAACATTGTGGTTCAGCGGTTTTTTTCAGGCCCAATACTTAATCAAACTACTTATTCGATTCATTAACTTCCCAGACGACGCCTCCGCTGTCAAAGACGTGTATCCACATTTAGAAAAAAAACCCTTTAAACGTTTGAACTTCACGGTCTGAGCCCGGAGCGCGCACAGGCGTCATCGCTTTGCGGTCATCCTGTCAGTCGTCGCGTTGTTTGTCTAAGCTCTCTCCTGTTCTTGTTGATTTTACCCTTTGAAAATCGAAAAGGCGCAATTGGCGCCTTTTGTCCAGCGTTCCTCATTAGGCTGCGGGTCAAAGAAAGTCCCCATCGGGACGATCATGGTGCGCAATGGCTGCCAATGGCGAGCCATTCGCTCCGTGCGTAAAGCTGATATTCAAGCCTTTAACTCGGTCCAGAACCCAATACACAGGCCACTGATGAGGTGTATTGGTGTCTGAGAATCCTTAATCTTATGGGGGGTGGGGGGGTGGAGAGGGGGTGTGTGTGATTCAAAACTGGACGAGCGACTGGAGTCGACTCGAAAAGAGGTTCAAAAACCACTTTTGTTCCAAAATTAGATTAAGCTGCTGTGGCAAAAACATTTGAAAACGTCTGTTAAATGCCCCCCCCCACTCTCTCCAAAAAGCGCACGCAGTCACACACACATTCTGCTCATTTGGTTTTCACTGCTCCTAAAAAAAGGACGAGAGGGCGGGGTGCCGTGAACTTTTTTACACCTTTGTAGTAGCGGGCACTCCCTCCGCGAGGTGATTGGCTGCCTGCGCGTTTATAGAGCAGCAGCACGCCTCATTCGCCGCTGAATTTGTCTTCACCTTTCGGTCCTAGTAGTTGGAAGAGGAGGCGAATGGATGTGACTAATCCTTGTTTTCCCCGAAGTCCAGAAGCGCCCGTTTATTTTTTTTCTCCACTTTTTTTTTTAACTTGTCTGTAGGAAATTTTTTTCACACCAGCCTTGCGCCGTCGTCTCTATCGAGCTGTCCGGTGGCTCTCCACAACCCCCTCCCAGCTGGACAGAGATGAGTAGTCCCGATGCGGGTTACGCCAGCGACGATCAGACCCAGGCAAGGTGCGCGATGTCAGTCATGATGCCTGGAATGGGACACTGCCAGTGGGCAGACCCCCTGAGTCCCCTCGGGGAGACCAAGGCGAAGAACGAGCCGTGCGCGTCCGGCTCCGGCGGCCAGGGCCGCGGGAAGAGCGAGCCCAGGATCCGACGGCCCATGAACGCCTTCATGGTCTGGGCCAAGGATGAGCGCAAGAGGCTGGCGCAGCAGAACCCGGATCTGCACAACGCGGAGCTGAGCAAAATGCTGGGTGAGTACAGTTTTTCGCTTTATTCCAAAAAAAAAACTACACTTACGCACACTCATCCGGAAGAAAAAAAGTGGGTCCTGTGTCTCGCAAATGACAGACATTTATTGTTTTAATATTGCTGATTATGGCTTACAGCTTAAGAAACCCAAATAGCCTATCTCAAAATATTAGAATATCGGATTTTTGAGTTTTCTTCAGCCGTACGCCATAATCAGCTATATTAAAACAATAAAAGGATTGCGATATTTCAGTTGATTTGTAATGAATCCAGAATGTATGACATTTCATGATTTGGAATTGCATTACAGAAAATAAAGAACTTTATCACCATATTCAACTTTTCTGAGACAGTCCTGTATATATAGAAATTTTCATTACGTCAAATTCATTTTAAATTATCTTTCCTCTTTGATAGTTTATGATGCGTTTTTTTAATGTTTTAAGAGTTGCTTTGTGGGTAAAGTTGCTGTTGTAACCTCAAAAATCAGTCCCTAAAATGGCAACGGGCTATTTTAGTGCGCATCACCAGGCCGTGCACGAGAGTCACACGCTGACATGTCCCCCTCACGTGCACGCTCCTCTTGAACCTGCAGGGAAGTCGTGGAAAGCCCTTCCCGTGGCGGAGAAGCAGCCGTTCGTGGAGGAGGCCGAGCGCCTGCGCGTCCAGCACATGCAGGACCACCCCAACTACAAGTACCGGCCGCGGAGGAGGAAGCAGGTCAAGCGGATTAAGCGGCTGGACTCGGGCTTCCTGGTCCACGGCGTGTCTGACCACCAGCCTCCCTCCATGCCCGGCGAGGGCCTGGGCCTGGGCCTGGGCCTGGGCTACCACGAGCACGGCTACCCGCAGCCCCTGGGTCACTACCGGGACCCCCAGGCCCTGGGGGGGGGCCCCCCCTACGAGCCCTACAGCCTCCCCACGCCGGACACCTCCCCGCTGGACGCCGTGGAGTCCGACTCCATGTTCTTCCCCCCGCACTCGCAGGACGACTGCCACATGATGGCCGCCTACCCCTACCACTCCCAAGAGGTCCACTTCCAGCCCCAGGAGGCGATGTCCGGCTCCGTCCTGCACCGGCCAGAGCCGCCCCCCCCCCAACAAGCGCCGCCGCCGGCGGGGGCCCTCCCCCCCTCCTACATGGGCTGCCCCAACCCGTTGGCCGTGTACTACAGCCAGCACTGCGGCCCGGGGCAAACCAAGCGGCACCTCGGGGGGGCCGGTCAGCTCTCGCCGCCCCCGGACTCCCACCCCCACCCCCACACGCACCCCCACACGCACCCCCACCCCCACCAGGGGGACGGCGTGGAGCAGATGCACCACTCGGAGCTGCTGGCCGAGGTGGACCGCAGCGAGTTCGAGCAGTACCTGAGCTCGTCCACCTCCTCCGGCCGCGGGGGGGAGCTGACCGGCCTGGCCTACGGCCCCCCCGAGGGGACCGTAGGCCTGCAGGGACCCGACAGCCTCATATCCTCGGTGCTGTCCGACGCCAGCACGGCTGTGTATTACTGTAGCTACAACAACTCCTAACCCCCACACACACACCCCCCCCCACTGTAAGGACACATGATCTGACCTCAAATCTGTTGCTAAATTTAAGCAAAAAATGCTTTCGTTTTTATTCTTCTTACAGGAGGCTGCTGAAGTTTGACTTTGTACTGTATCCGTGTCATAACAGCAAAGCCATAAGAATATTTTTAACCCCCCGAACACTGATTTGAACTTCTCTCCACTTCTCTGGCAGGGATATGAGCTCGTTTTTTGTCATGATAAATAGTGTACAGTCACCATTTTAAAGTTTATGTATATAATGGACGTGTTTTTTTGTTTTGTTTTTTATACTTTCGCACTTTTGAAAAATAAATGTTTGCAAGTAGTCTGGTCTTCTCTTGTATTTATTGTTGATATTCTTTTGAATATGAATTCCATTTGAAGGCATTTTTTTCCTCATAAACGTCACGTCAAGTTGTGTTACACCTCAAAACGCAGGTTGTGTTTTTTTTAAAAGTTGACATTTTGACAGTGCCGGCTCATTTTGGCCAGGTTTCCACGCGTTGTTTTTCTTTGGAGTTAGAGTTCATTCAGTGTGTTCTGCTGAGTTTTTTTTTCTTTTTTTTCCTGTCGGTTGGGGTTTGTTTTTTGGGCTCCCAGTAGCGGGCAGCGGTCACTCACCTGGAAGCGGGGCAGCGGGGGCCCGTGACCCGGTTTCCTGGCTCGGGCCGCGTTACACACGGCGCCTTGTTTTTTTCGCAGCGTGGTAGTACAGTTTATGCTCCGGACATCCTGCCAGTAAATGATTCAGCCTTTTTCTGATTAATACCAAAAAGCCATTCAATCCCAATCACGGCCCACTACATTTACACCCAACAATGGTGTGTTTCTACAACAGAAAATTAGGTTTATTCAAATTTCTCTATGTCATTCGTGCTTATTAACACAGCGGTGACATCATATTTTATTTCTGTGGGCATTCTCACTCGGCTAAGATATATTTATCCGCTAAAGCCCGTCTGTTGCTTCGACATCAATCACATTTATCGGACAAAAAAAATCCTTAAGAGATCAGACCCGGACCTTGACAATGATTTAATGTATTTATAACTCGGCAAGAATCCTGTTTTATAAATAGAGATTTTCCCCTATTTTAAAAGGAAGAGGTTCTTCTCAGAGGGGTCAATCACCCTGACCTCGGTCCATTTTTAGCGCCTCAGAGGAAACGTGTTCCAGAGGTGTATATATTTATGCGCTTTGTTCATGCTGAATGTTTTTTTTGGGGATATTCTCTGTGTAGAAGTCCCGGTCGGAGATGTTTCCAGGATGTTTCCAGGCTCTCCTCAAAGTCTCATCAATGATGTCAGCTCATCTTAAATTTAAGAAAAAAAACTTTGTAATTTTTTTTGCTTTAATTAGCTGAAGTTCTATTCTCTTTTTTGGTCCAAACAAAAATGTCTGCCAGGCTAAAGGCGTTCTTGTGTGTTTGGGATTCCCTCGTTTGCCTCGGGGCCGAGGGCTGCAGAATCCACCGTAATTGGTGTGAATGCGCTTAAATTCACTCTGCCGCTGAGTGGTGGCTTTATCCTCCCTGTTGTTACAGCGAATGAGTGCATAACAACAGGCTCAGGCCTCCGTCCCCGAGGCCTCAGCGTGGGTGGGGGTCACCTATACGGATTTAAGGCAAGGCAGACCTCCCGTATTATCCCCACGCACTAACTGCTTTTTTGCTAATTGGTGAGGAAGAGCTCAATGAGTGACATTTCTGGTGGGAAAGCCTTAAATTCTTTCGAATCGTAGTTTTTACTTTCTGGTTTCTTTAAGTGCTGATTCGAGTTCAGAATCATCTAAATCCCTTCTCTGTTTGAAAAGTGCATGGAGAAGAATCTTAAAATAATGTTAGATAGATAGATAGATAGATAGATAGATAGATAGATAGATAGATAG